TTCAAATGCAGATGTTGTGACATATTCATTTGGCGGGATACCCTATACCCCCTAAATCACAAGTCGAGCATTAACTTCAAAGGAAACTTTCACATGTATCAAATGAAGTTTCCCTCCAGGAAAAAAAAAAGATTTGGACTAAAAATAACTATGATGAAATTGTCTACCAACTGAAATGTATCAAATATTGTTTAGTATTTGGCATTGTAATTTTTGCCCTTTGTTTGGTTGTTTCAAGGCTAAATTGTCCTATTTTTATTAGAATATTTTGTTGTAATTAAGAACATCTGTTGTTGGCCTTATGTAACATCTCTTGGTTCAAGGCTTCTAATAACATCAGTTGTAACATTTGTTGTTTTGTAACATCTCTTGGCTTTGTTTGGTTGTTACGAAGGTTTTGGCTTTGCCAATGTATCCCATGTTAGCTTTCATTCAGGTTTTTGTCAAATAAGAGTAAACACGTTGATGGCCTCTCCCTTAACACTCCCTTCTTTCCTTAAATCCAAACACCAATTTGTTACCCCATAATTTGTTGCCCCCATAATGGAAATGACAAAAGTGAAGTCTTCAAAATGCCAATACAAGTTTACTAGAACATCGTAAGTCCAAAACTTGCAAAGACCAACCCAATTCCATGTATATGAAGCAAACTAATGGCACAAAAGTAAACACCATTCAATGTCACTCAATAATAATTATGAACAAACAATAGTAGGTTTAATTAGATAAGTAACAGAAAGCAACATGATATATCGATCTAGTATTCGAATACTGGACTACCATTATTACAACACACAGTAGTACAACAAACAAGACAACATTTTGTTATAGCAGCAGTCTACACGTGGTCATCATACGACTCACGTGCAGCAGTCCTGCAATATAATAAAATAGTAACTGTTAGTGAAGAATATGATAACAAAATAACAAGGATAATTTCATTATTACATTGTTACCGACCCTTTGCAAATTTTGGACAATTACGTTTATCATGATTGTGACCTTTGCAAACACGACAAGCCCGGTTCAATGCTACCCATCTATCCATGTTAGATTTTAGTCATTTCCCACAACCTTTGTGCCGCGCATGGTCGGGTTTCACATATTCTACCACATTAAATGCCTTCATATCTTTACTTGGCCTCTTATTTCGTCTTGACTTGTTTGATAAGTGCTCCTTGAATTTATTTTGCCACTCTTCAAGTGATTTTAATCCAACTTCTTGGTCCTTCGGCGACTCCGGTATAAGTTCATAGTAACCACTAAGAGAAGCGTCATATGTCATGCTATTTTCTTCAGTCAACTCTCTTTTTTTGGTCCTCTCTTATCAAATTCCCCGATTGGTCTCTAACAACTTCCATCTTACAACCCCTTTTCCACCGATCCATAATGTAAAAGCTTGGAATGTTGTAAATCTTCATACAATCCATAACCCTTAATATATGCAAACAAGGTATCCAGAACAATGAGCAATTTGTGTCTAACAGTCGAACTTCACTACTCGGCTTCTTTTTATTGCGGTTTCATTAGAGAGTCCTCTATATGTTAACTTCAACATGATAGTGTCACCCTCATCCACATTCTCATCGACACTGTAAGTGAAGCAGTCATGTAGTCCAATTTGGAATTCACAAAACATGGTAGAGGTGTATATATTTACCACTTGCTTGCCTCGGCCCCATATTGTAGCTTAGGGCGCCCATTCATGTCCTTATGGTCACATTGATTCTCAGTCGCTCTCTATCTCGAAAGAGCTCTATCAAAGCGAGTAACAAACATATTAAAACTACACTCCTTGTACACATATTTCTTCAAGGAGTGTGTTGTTTCACTTCTTTAAGTAGAATACATAGCAGAAGCAAATACATTCTTGAAATACGTACGCCGGGACCCACTTGTCACAAATTTGAAACGTGTAAGACATTCATTCGTTGTATCCCAACCCAACTTCGTTAATGAGAGCTTTCTATGTCACTTCAAATTCATTGGGTGTCTCCGAATGTTTAATAATACTATAAATCATGTCAAAATTATCAAGAGATTTATCCCCCCCCCCCTTTCTCTGGGATCTTACGAATTATGTGCCACATGCAGTGGCGGTGATAGGTGTTCGGGAGAACACAATTGATGGCGTTTGTCAAAGCAGGATCTTGGTCCGTGATAATAAAATTTGGTGGTGGCCCGGGCATGCCTTCTAAAAAAACTTCTAATACCAAAAGGTAAGACTCAAAATTTTCTTTGTTCATGAACGCACAACCAAATAAAACAGACTGAAAACGATGATTAACTCCAACAAATGGTGTGAAGGGAAAGCTGTAAGTATTTGTGTTGTATGTTGAATCAACAACAATTGTATCACCAAAAACGTAATACGAACGACGACAAGTGGGATCAGCCCAAAAAGCCATTTCAATTTTGTTCGCATTATCTTTTCTAACCTTGTAAAAAAATGACGAGTTGTGTTCTTTCTCTTTCATGAAGTGATCCACAAATAATTGAGCATCTTGACCCCTAACTTTCACCTTCTCATCTCGAACATAGTTTCTCAAATCTGTTTCAAGGAACCCAACATCACCCACACCACTAGATTCGAAAATGAATACGCCCATAGTTTGAGGGATTGAGATGTTGTTAGCTTGTAAAGTTGAGAAAAACTTTATCTTGCTTCTCAGACATGACAATGTGACTTTAGTAAGTGGACATTGCTTGGCATTTCACAATAATGATTATGTGCCTCCTCAAACCGATACACTTTGAAAACCACATTCTTTTGTGTTTTAGAAATACCCAACATTGCCTTACACCCAATGCAGAGTTTTGCCTACACCAGTTTCATTCTCTTGCATTGACTTCTTTCCGGACCCCTTTTTGTGACAAGTGTACACCCTACCAGTAACTTCCCCGACTTTTTTTTACAGGAATCTTTGTGATTACTAAACTCGGCTAACTTAGCATATTCATTGTAAAATTTATATGCATCACTCAACTCTTGAAATGTCATTCAACACAAGGTTTTTTTCACTTGGAACGTCGGGGATAAAATGAGTGACTATGTGACTACAAGCTGTTGTCTGGAACGTCGGGGATAAAATGAGTGACTATGTGACTACAAGCTGTTGTCTGTCTCGAAGATTCCATAGCTAATCTTCTGATACAAAATTAAAATCACCATTTCAAAATTAAAATACAAATTTTATCTTATTAAACTTTTATTCGATCAATTAATCAAGTATAAAGTACATGATATTAAAGAAGAATAACTATATACATGGGGAAAAATGAAGTTCAACATAAACTCTTTATATCAAGCGCCACAGACTCTGTAAATATGAAGAACACCACAGAATAATCTCGACCAAAAGAAAATTCGGATTTACATGAGCTTAATCGTTTGTCAAGTTTGTATATTTGTTTGCAATTTTTTGTGAGGCGAGAAGAAGGTGAGAAAAATATTTAGCTTCGACAATAATTTTGATACATGCAACTATCTCGAGCTGATTTCTCCATCACTGGTTTTGTTTTCTTAAGATGAGAGGTTTCTTGCTGATTCCTCAGTTGCTGATTTAGTTTTTTGCTTTACGAAAAGAAGGTACGAAAACAAATTAAGACGAGTTGATTTCTTTCGTCGGATCATTTTGGGTGCGGATATGGGTTATTTCAGTCCGATCCTTTCATTTAAATGATGGGTCAAGGTCAACCATTAGATTAAATACAACGGCAAGCAGTATTTCAGTCCGCACAAGAATTGGTCAGGCGCGACTAATAAGAAAACTTCTATCTGTGCGCGCGTAAAAACATCATAAGTAAAACACCTTTCCTTATTTGAAGGGTCATATATGTTGTTAGTAAATTTTTATTCACAATGTCTAGATATAGACATTGTGATTGACATTTTTGAGAAGAACTTGCCAAAATGCATAAGACCGTGAAAAGAATGACAGAGAAAAGTCATGAATGTATTGTGTCTGTCTCTCTCTCAAGTGACATATGCATCGTGTACATTATAATATTGGGGATGCTCTAACCCATTTTCAGCTTCATCAACCACTATTTTTTTTTATCAAACTTTAATTTTCAAGCGGTGAATTGTTCTTCGTATAACAATGAAATTAAGTTAGTTTGAATTAGTTTTGTGATTGAATTGTGTCTAGTTGTCGTAGAACACCACTTTTAACTATTTTATACTACGTATAATTTTCTCTTTATTTTATTAGAAAGTATGTCTCCATAATTTAGCAGGTTCAACCAATTCAACATCCTCAATCAAAATTTCATCAATTTCAGCATATTCAGTCAATCCAGTGTTACTGAATAACCTCTGAATCTTTACCTCTAAAACCATATCAAATCGACTTATTTAATATGTAAACATTGTTTAAGTCATTCGACATTGTTATATTACATCTTCATATTACAATGTTTAGAGCATCTCTCATGCAAGGGTGTGCATGGTGCACATGTGGCATGAGAAAAGACATAAAATTAAAACAATGCAACGTAACTTTCCAGAGATCAAACACCAACTCGCCACCCTATACCTTGTGGTGATGAAACTGTTGTGGGTTGAAATACTGATGCATCCATGGTACTAAATTTGATATGCATTCTTGAGTTTGTTGGGACGACATGTGATTTTTTTATTTTTAAATATAGTACGTAGTAGGTTTTTACATTCTTATAGCATTTTATCTATTGATTCTCTTTTATATTTTTCGGGTCAAATTCTTAATATGTCTCATTTACTTTAAATGTAACAGTGGTACCATGGATTCATACTTTAAATGTTTCTTAATGTAGTGTTGTCGGTTACTCTTTGAAATGTTTGTGTTAAATTTGCTAGGCCATAACTAATATAAGGAGTCACAAATTTTCTAAAAACACTCCCCTTTAAGAAACTTGTGTCTCTCAACATCCTTAGCCTTATGTCCAATCACGTGTATGGAAGTAATGGTATACATTACAAATTTTCTACGATGGAACACATTATGAGATCTGTATTACCTCCCCAAGCAAAGGTTTTCTATTCTCAATTAGTCTCAACCCAACCAAAAGTTATTGTTATTTTTTAGAATGTTAAGACATATATAATACATAGTATATAATTAATTAGATAGAAAAACAAATAAGTTATCACATAGATCAATAGAGGAAAGAAATAGAAAAGAGCAAAAATGTCATTCACCGGGACATTGGATAAATGCAAGGCTTGTGACAAAACTGTTTACTTCGTCGATTTGTTGTCCGCTGATGGATGCATCTATCATAAATCTTGTTTCAAATGCAGCCATTGCAAAGGCACTCTTGTGGTACGTTATTGTTTGTGTTCTTGTTGTGATCGATCGTATATAAATTAACTATCAACCAGGGACCTGAAAAATAAAGTGTGTCAATATAGTAGGCCTTTAGTGATTAAAAACTATCAATCAAAGACCTAAAATATCATTGTTTTTTTATTAATTTCATTGCTATTTTTGATGAACTTTTCTTTACAAAACTTTATTAGTAAAATTAAAAAATATTTAAATTTTTTAAAATAAAAATACTAAAGTTCATGACAATTTAGGTTTTACATTGTCAATTTTCAATCATTCGAGTTTTATATCGACACGTCTCATTTTTCAGGTTCCTTATTGATAGTTCATCTATATTGGGGTCCTTAATTGATAAAACTTCATCTACATGTGAATGAAAAGAGATTAAATGTTGATACATATTTCATAATGTGAGAGATATAAATTGTGTTAGGCCGATAGACCAGCACAAAGTTTTCTTTTTTTTTTTGGCATAATTTTTCGTCCAAAACCATGCTACATAATCTCATCAAATTTTGGGTGCTAAGGGGCCTAGTGTGATCCCCTAAATATGTTTGTATATTAGATATGCTTGCGTGTTTTTTTGGACACCCATGTAAATGATGAATTTTGATTGGGACAGATGAGCAATTACTCTTCCATGGATGGGGTTCTTTACTGTAAGACCCATTTTGAGCAACTCTTCAAAGAATCTGGGAATTTTAGCAAGAATTTTCACACTTGTAAGTTATACTACATGTTATTTTGTATACTAAATACTAAATAAAGAAAAAAGGATTTCGTTGTTTATATATATGTTGCTTAAGTGTGCTTTTAATTTTTGTTAATTAATACTTTTAAATGTTTGTTTGTATCATCCTTACGCAGCGAAGCCTCCAGAGAGGGAGAATTCAATGGTACGTATAATATTCATTCAATATTAATATTAGTTTATGACTAGTGTGTTCTTTTTAGCATTTATACGGAGTACATAGTACCACATATGTTATGTATATATATTAAAGCAGTTGTTTACAATTTTATAAATTTCGCGAAAGTAATAATGTTAGAAGGGGAGCCTTGTCGCACCAGTTAAGTTGTCGTGTGACTTAGAGGTCACCGGTTCTAGTATTGAAAATGGTCTCTTATCAAAATATGACAGGGAAGGTTTTCGCCTTATACACCCATGTGGTGAGAGCTTTCCCCGGGCCATCGCTTTGGGGATGCCTTCGTGCACCGGGCTACCTTTTTTAAAGCAAAATTAGTAACACAACGTTGTTTGATGCATATATGTATGTATGCAGACAAAGAGCTCAAGCAAATACTCTGCCATGTTCTCTGGAACCCAAGACAAATGTGCTTCTTGCACCAAAACAGTCTATCCTCTTGAGAAGGTCCGTTTTTTCTCATTTAAGTTCTTTGCATTAAGCAATACTACAATTACATTGTCCTGGTCTAATCGCTTTAATGACATTTATAAGATGTAAAATATTTCGTTACTCTTACATAAATCCAATTTAGTGATTTATCTGCTATCAGTGTAATATATAGATAGGTAAAACAGTACATTCACTCCAATATGTCATCAAGTTGGTAGGAAATGGGTGAAAACTTAGCATAACCCAGATACCATGTACCCCCCCCCCCCCCCTCTCAAGAATATGATTTATTTCATTATAAAAAGAAGAAAAAAATTAAAAAATCAATAAAAAGTGAGTCTTATTTAAAAAACGATGCAAACCTATATGGAAAAATATGTTATGTTTTAGTTTCATTAATGAAATTTTCTATGTGTACAAAGAGCAGTCAATCAAGCACTCAAGCTAATCCAATAGGAGAGATCACACTTACAACGTCACAATTGATCTTGTTCACTACGGGTCAAATATAAAGATAGAAATTGGTGTATTAGGTTTTGAGTTACAAATTTCATAAAGTTTGGTTTTTTAATAAATAGAATATAACACAACACATTTTCCAAATGGGTCCACAATTATTTTCTTCTCAAAATAAGGTTTATTGACTCTTAAAATAAAAGGTTATAAATATTTTTTATTCTTTTATTAGATTAACTAATTTCAATTTTGGAAATAAAATATAATTTGTCAAGTCCCAATATATTTTAGAGCGTATTTGATAGCATTGAAATTGATTTAATCGATTGAAATTGATGAAATTCTTGAAGCAACGGCTGGATTGGCCGAATATACTAAATTATAGAAAAATCGTATTTAAAATATGGAATATATTTTATTAATAAAATAAAGAAAAATGTGAAAAATAGCTAAACGTGTCTTTCACAATAACTTCGGTCAATTCGGTCAGATAAGTAACTTTAACCTTACGACGTCAAATCAAAAATTACGTACGTGTTTGATAGAAAAAGTTGGTTGATAAAACTGAGAATGTGGTTACCAAACAAGCTTTTAATCTCATTTCTTGACATTGGTAACCTTTAGTTATCTATTATAATCATGCATGCACTCTTAATGGTTATATTATATGCATGTGTAGGTTACGATGGAGGGAGAATCATATCACAAGTCATGTTTCAAGTGCGCACATGGAGGTTGTCCCTTGACACATGCAACGTATGCCGCACTAGATGGAGTGCTCTACTGCAAGCACCACTTTGCTCAACTCTTCATGGAGAAGGGAAGCTACCAGCACGTCCTTACTGCCACCCACAAAAGGAATGCTTCCGCGGCGTCTGATGGAGCTGAAGAGGGGGAGGAGCATTCTGCCGCCGCCGTCGATGAAGCCAATCATGACAAACAAGCCGATGAAGAACAAAATTAGTCCTAAGTATAATTAAAGTTCCAAGCCTTGCCTAACACACATTAATTTTTCTATATTCTTTTTGAGAATATTATTCATTATTTCTTGTGGTTTTTCATTGTGTTGAGATTGTCTTAATCAATTATTATTGTTGTGTCATTTTCTCAATGATTAGCTTGTCGTTTATTTTTTTATTTTTGTGCCTTTTGTAAACCCTATTGTTCCAAATGATAAATTGTACTATACACTTGAATATATGTTAAAACCGCATGTTACACTATTTGTCAATGTTGCATTTCATGTTTGTATAAAAAATGTTAGGTGTACACCTTGGTACACACCTTCGTGTACACCCTATAAAAGCATTAAACCATTTCTGTTATCGCTCCCCCTCTCCCCCACTCTCCCCCACTTACATATGGAAATCTCCCTCTTCTTTCCTCTTCATGTCTTCCATCTTCATCACCTCCCATGTTCACCATCAATTCTCAATATCGGCCACATCTCATTTTCATCATTTCCATCTTACTCATCTCCGTTCTTCAACCTCATCTTCCATCTTCTCCATTAGGGGTGGGTTCGGTTCAAACGGTTCGGTTTTCACTTAAAACCGAATGCTGAATCAAAGTAAAAAGTTTCGTTCGGTTCGGTTTTATGTTCAAAAATGTAGAACCACGGTTTGTTCAATTCGGTTTATTTTGGTTCGGTTACGGTTTTTGCCAAAATATTTTTGTTGATTAAAAAATAGTAATTGGAAAACAAAAACAAAAAATAAACTACATCAAACTATAATTAATGGTAATACAATACATTGAATACAAACACATAATTGAAAAAGAGAGAGAAGAAACAAATGCACTTTCAAGCAATGAATTAGAGAGTACATGTATACCAATTTAAATATTTTCTAAATTAATTAAACTCATGAGTTTATTTGTGAATTATATATAGTGTATTCACAGGTTAAAATTTTATTTGTAAATGTTGTGTCCAGTAATTCAGTTTCATTTTGACTACAAGATTTTTCTTGATAGTAAATAAAGTATGGTTTGGATTAGTGAATATTTGGTCAATCCAAAATGAATATATCTTAGCTTTGCATTGGCCAATGACTTTATGATCCATCTAGATATGAGAAGTACAATGTTCACTCTTAATCATTTATTCATTTACGACGAATGAATCCTTTCTTGGCTCAACTACTGATCCATGTGCTTCGTGATGCACCCAACACATGTCGTATTTACTCTGATTGGAGTGCAAACGTCTGTTGGTCATGATCAAAGGACATCACTCCACACATGAATTATATGTTGATAATTCCATAGACACATGAATAGAACTTATCAAATGGTTTCTCGGTGGGTATGCCAATATTCTCTAAAATACCTATGTGACCATCATGAATTACGAGAACTCATAGTTGTGAGATCAACTATACTTTCCAAAAGTATGGTGCAGTCTACATACCAATTTTATAGAATATCATCAATATCTTTTTCTTGATGATCATTGATTGAGGCTATTTTATGACTTTATGTTATATCACATGAGCTCCCACTTACTTAGTAACAACACAGGTCCAAGGGAACCGAATGTGATCAAGTATATATATCTCTACGAAAACGATTGCCGCTAGGACATATACACTAACATATTGTCCATACATAAAATGGTATTCGATACAACAAAATGTATTTCATCCAATTCTATATCTTTATAAAGTGAGCAATTATTTAGTGAAGCAACTTTTGGCGGGTCATGTATTATGTTGTTTCCTAGAGAGGAGGAAGTTCTCAGCGTTCATGAGGATTTGAGTTGGGCCAAGACAGCAAGCTAAGATAATATTAATGTAGAGCCAGATGTTATACTAATAATTTCTTTAATTCAGTTAGAGGTGGGTGGCTCCTCCTTTGGGCTAATTATCGAAGATATCAACGATATGATTTCTAGTATATCTTGTCAACACGTCATGCCTATAATTTGGCTCCTCCTATAGACAAATTATATCATTGTATAACATGACACACAAATCTATTTGCCACACAAATAAAGATTCCATCTACCATTCATTTCTAATAATCCGGTGACTTTCTTGCGACTTCCCAATTGCTCTCAAACATCATATTTTCTTTTGGATAGACAAAAAAAAAGCGAAGACGATGATGGAAAATGATGGCGAAGATAAAATATGAATAGAAGGTAAATCTATATATAATAACAAAATAGTGTGAGGGAACTTTTGGGCGGGAACGCTACTATAAAAATAGCTATTTGTTGCGGTTATTTTTAGCTATTTGCCGCGGTTCTGAACGCCAGCAATTGGTAGGGCAGCAAATAGTAGGAAAAAGTATTTGTTACAGTTCCAAACCGCAGCAAATAACTATTCTTTTAAAAATGAATTTTGACTTATTGTTGTGATTCTGAACCATAGCAAATAGCTATTTAAAAAAAGTGAATCGTGACTTATCGTTGCGGTTCCGAACTGCGGCAAATACTTCTATAAATTGGCACATGTTTTTTTGTTTTGTTTTGGACTACTATCAAAATTAAAAAACTGGTGTTTTAGACAAAAAATGTATCTAGCTTACATAATAAGACAAAGTTATTTTCACAAACTCAGTATCTCATCAACAAAAATCAGAATCATAATCTCAAAATCATTGACTTATATTGATATACATCGCCAAAGTTTAAAATGAATGCAATACAAATTGTCATTCTTTTGTAAGTTTATTGTAATAAAGTTTACAAAAAATTATCACACTTATATGACCAATTCCTCACAAACCTCAATTACATCATCACTCTAAAAGGCTCTTTTGGTGCTTTGATAGACCTTAAATATTAATGCAATGACAATCTCTTAGTGTCTACATAAATAATCTATGCATTTTCATATTTATATATATGGTCTCATATTTGTACTAAAAAATGAATTTACTTCTACTACTAATTCCAAAGTAGTTAGCATTGTTCTAAAAAAACTAGTTAGTATTATCCTAAAAAACAAAGCCCAAAGAAATGAGACCACAAATATGTAATCTGCAAAAAAGTTAGCTATAGAGAAAAGCAATGAATCAACAATGCAAAACACTCTAATCAACATAAAACATCCTCAAAAGCCACATACTTCCCTAATAGTTTCCACCTGCTATACATGCCAAAGCACATTGTAGAGACCATCACAAATCAATAACACTTTTAATGCATTCAAAACCACATGATCATTCAAGCTATATATATCCAATATCATTCTAACAAGTTATTGCACACCTAAATGTTCAAGCGGTCATAAATAAAATTCTGTTCAACTCAAGACCACATGTGTCTATTGAATAAATGTAATCCATAAACACAAAAAGGGTCAACCACCCTTACAATAAAAAACCCATAAAATGTTATCACAACAGGTTCATGGCAAGTAACAATGCATAACCCTTGTTGCCTAGGATAGTAAAAAAAAAAGAAGAGATATTACCCAAAATGGGACTAAAAAAGTTTGGAAATTCCAAAATAGGACTTCCATGTTTTTATTCCCAAAATAGGACTAATTACTGTCATGTTTTGGCAATACCAGACTTCAAACATGGCAGTATTTTCCAAATTTGGCAGTAATTAGTCCTATTTTGAGAATAAAAACATGACAGTCCTATTTTGGAATTTTCAAACTTTTTTAGTCCCATTTCGGGAACTTTCCCAAAAAAGAAGTAGTAATGGTTGCCCAATTCTAAAGATGCTGACACATACTTCTTCAAAATTAAGATGGAAAAAGAATCTGCAATAAGAATACACAAGAAACATGAATTTTGTGAGTATAATGGTCCTTACCAAAAAACAAGTGTTCAAAAATAAAGTAAAATTATTTCTTCAAACTTAAAGAGAAATATGAAAAGGTCATGACTCATGATCAAAACCAATGAATAAATCCAGATGTTCATTGGTGAGGTTGCACAGTGAATATCTCTTACTATTTCGACTATATCTTGTCCTCCCAAAGATATAAGGTGAGATGAAGTATATATCTTGTCCTCCCAAAGATACAAGGTGAGATGAAGTATATATCTTGTCATCCTAAAGAAAGCATTGGTGGTTGAATGTTTTGAAATAAAATTCAAGGGTGTGCCCAATTCGAAGAACTGCATTCAAGTTTTGGCTAAACAGGTGATGAGCCTGTGATAAAAAAAAATCAGTTGCTTGATTATTCCGACAACACCATCTTCATAAATAGTAATCCAAAGTTTACACAATGGAGCATCATCATTCGTCACTATAACCCCCCACATCTTCTTTGAGAAGCTGTGTTAATACTTTACATAATGTGAATAGAACAAGAGATAAATATGAAAAGGCTTGACATTGTTGAGAAATATGTGCTTAAATTAAAAGAAATTAGATATTTTTATAGATGTTACAGACAAAAAATTCAAACGTAATAGAAAAGCAAAAGAGAAACACTTTGATCGTATAGTTTTAGTCCCAACCTTGAATTAGTTGTTTTCCCGTTCAAATAGTAGATGATCTTATCCATCCGATATATGGATAAAATTATTTTATTTAAACGTTTGGGTAGCCGTTAGATGCCATGAAGAGTGAAGACCTTGCATCAGCATGTTGCACGCCTACACACAAGCTTGCGTGAAGTGGGCTAAGCGGAGCAGTCTGCATTGTTGGTGTGCCACACCTCTCTGAATTTACTTTTTCCTGGTTGACGTTTTCAAATTACATGTCACTAACAAACTATTTAGAGATTCCCAGTTATGTACATAGACAATTCATAACAAAGTAGCAGAATTTGATGATTAAAAATAATGTGTACACTCCCATTCAATTTGGGTGAATTTGCCGATGAATATCTTTTAATAGCTTTCACACGAGTTAGTGCAAATATTTCTCTCATGTGTGATTTAACTGATTCTAGAGTTGAAAATTTGATAGAAATGTTAATACAAATTTTAAGTGAATAAGGTTAGAATGTTTTTTATTGGATTGATTTTAGTTCCACACCACACTAGACCAAACTAGACCAAATCACACCTCGACAGCTGTGAAATACATACTGAACAAACATCTACGAAATCAGACCAAATCAATTCAGATCCAACCAGATCAGATTACATAGAGATATAGTGAAGTTAAGAGCATCTTGAATTTCATTCTTTTGACATTGTCAAAAATTGCCACATCATCAATTTTAAAAGATATGATATTTTTATTTCCAATTTTATCTCCGATCCAATGCACTTTT